ATTACAAATCTTCGCCCAATTTTAAAAGGGTCATGCACTGCACTAGGGGGGGGAATGAATATTTCTGGAAATTTAAGTAGAAAATTGTATTTAGAGCATTGGTTGTCCAGAAAGTGAATACTTCCACGGGCCTACGATAAATGAAATCAAAAGGGTTTTACTGGGGCTTGGCAGTTGGGGTTTCCAACCACTTATCAACCATAGGCAAGGCGTGACCAGCAAACATACCAGTACAATCAAAACTAAGCGCAAAACCCACAAGGGGGTGCACAGCAGGATGGGCTAAAGATGCAATACGCGAAGATCAGAGACCAGCGAGGGCGAGGAGTATGCCAGAGTCGGTAAGGGTAGTTGTGAGAGCTGAAGGGACAAGCAAGATCAGTCTTAATAAAGCTGTTGCTGACAAAGCAAAGTGTCGGGTTTAGGGCTGGCAGAGGAAGGACAAATTTAAGGGGTGTCAGAGCGGTGACTGCTAGAGGTAAATTCTGCGAGCTCGCTGGTAAACAGGGCAGTATTAGTACGTATATGAAAAACTGCAAACGGGACTTCACTATTCTCAGTGGCGCTAGACGCTTCTCCACGATACGCCCACGAGTTATAGTGTCCAATACGAAGGCGGGAGTAGTCTCCCAAACACAACTAAGACCAGAAGCCTAAACAAGGTTCGACAATACAGTACATGAATCTAATGTGCCATTGCCAACAGTTGCGAAATTGCCTCGAGAGTAACGGTGTTAACTGTTTCAACAAATAACAGCATTAAGTACCGAGCTTGCTTGAAGGTTACTAGAAGGGGGTAGCACAGGTTGCAGAGATACGTCCGTAGACTAGGCCGTAGGTACAAGGTGGGCAGAGGAGAGTTTGGCCGATAGCCAGTCCTGGGAGGAGAGGTTGAGCCCGTGAGGGTAGGCCGTGGAGTGAGGCCGGATGGGCTCAGCGTCTGATCTGGGCAGGCCCTAGAGGGGGCAGCACCACAGTGCCGCGAGATATGAATCTAAACAGACAGTACAGGCTGTCTACAACTGCAAGACTGACAAACCATATATGAAATGTCTGGAACAGCTGATCACGCAGCAAAGTGTCTGTTCGTTGCCTCGGAACATCCACATATCGGCGACCCCACCACAACACTGCTGTTTTACTATAAACTTGGCGCGGCCGAAGTTGAATACAAAGATCTAGGCATGCTAGAACAATTTCCCAAGTCTACATTCGTGATATGCAGTGTTACTTCTAATTGGTTTAAAGTAGTTATCGTTAAAGGGGGAAAGGGAAACCAGTTAAAATTTTGACATTACTAAGCTGTTCATTCAGCGATTTTAAAGATTTTCTTGCAAATAAATTGACAACTTGCTGCTGCAGTTATCGGTTCTTAAAATTATCACAATGCAAGTAAAACTATTCATCTTCCCCACCCCTCCCCCACAGACACAGCAAACCTAAAACTAGACATCGGCCAGGAGCGATCAGATGTATACGGAAAAAAAAAAAAACCGTTTACCGCCGAAACAGGTTGGGTTCTTAAGTCAGGTAAGCACTTAAAAGCACCCCTCCCCTCCCACCCAAGAGAACCCCGTTCTACCCCTGGCACAAATTCTCCCGCTTTAAGATAAAGTCAGGAAAACTTCAGTCATACCTAAGCCAAGGAAACTAATTTCTTCGCTCAAGAGCCCCTGCCAACAGCTTCCCTCGAGGAGTGATGGATGGCTTTGATACCGTTTATTTTATAGTTGCTTGTCAATTATGCTTAGAAAAATTACTGACAGTAACCAGTTTCATCGCTAAACGAGTACGGTATGATAAGCTCATTTCCATGTACACTGAAATCAGAAAACCGAGATTCATGTAGATTAGAGATTCAACAGATGCTTTAGAAAGATTACAATATTGGACAATCTCTTAGCTCATTGCCTAACCATGACAACTTTCAACAATATTAATGCAATATGAAAGGAGCTCTTTCAGCTCTGCAGCGAATAGCAGAATATTCTGAAAGTAAACTAAATGCAATCAATCATTGTTCGAAAGTCCTATTATATTTACAAAGCTTTAGAACTTTTTGTGCTTCAAACATTCCATTTCTAACATTGATGCCAACACCGTTAGCTGCTTCTCTTTACACTTTCATAAACACAGTAAAACATTCTGCAATACGTCACAAGATTATCTGCCAAGATATTTAGATTGAATTGTCCACCATTTATACCAAGAAACTTTTTAGGAAGGCACCCCCTGGAAAGAAATCATCAATTTTTAAAGGGGTGGAGCAGTAAACTAGTGCAAGGCTTTGTTAGGTTACCAAAAACTGCTAAAAGTAGTGGTATGACTTTGGACCCTCGTCAAGAAACAATTGTCACGTTTCTTTGAGATTTTTTTCCCAAGGGAGAGTGGTGCACCCAACTCCTAGGAACAAACTCTTCGTTTCTGTAACCTAACGGTATCACTAGTCCCTCTTCCCCCAGGAGTGAGGGGAGGATTAAATTAGTGTGCTCGACTACTACTATATAATGCAATTCATTTTTCCCGTCAACGATAGTGGGAGGACACGTCTTAGTCTCAAGATCCACTGATAGTGGTCATGCCCCCCCCCCCCAAACTGTCTTCACGCGTCTTTCCAGTGCCCTTTCACCCCTCCAAAACTTAGTGGTAGCTGTCATTCACTTCAAATGTACCTGGTATTATCTAAACCAAGCGCTAACTAAACCTAGTGTATCTGGTAACTTCAGTCCTTTAGTCAACATTGCTCCCCACCATTAGTTCCGCCCTGGTCTTCAATGAAAGCATTCTTATCTTTCCTTCAGCCAGAGAATTTTCCTTTTGAAAGAATGGAAATGGAAAATTACCAAAAACATTTTCAAAGGTTAAAAAGCCAATTACAGAATATTCAAGGTATTCACCTGTGCTAATTTAAGCAAAGTTTGGAGTAAAAAAAAATTTTTTTCATTAAAATTTTATTTAAATATTAACGAAAGAAATTTTCTGAAATCCAGTGTTCAGTCAGACGACGTTTAATGTTTGCCAAATATCCTGGGGAAAAAAAATTTTTTTAGTAAAGACTAACAATTAGAGCAAAATACTGAATAATTTAATGTAACAGTATTATTATAATCAAAAAGAAGCGCTAAAACCACATGGGAAACTAGTTTCACACTAGTATAGGTTAGATTCCAGTGGTACAAGTGTGGGGCTTTAAGCAGCATAAACTACGCTCAAATTCAGCGCTTAATAAAGCTCAAAGAAAACTATCCAATTTCAAACCTATTTCTCAATTATAATGCAAGAATTTCAGTATCTTTCTTTAAAGTTATGAAAGATCGGCAGTCACAAAACTTCAGGTAGCGGGGAAGGGGGGGGTGGAGGGGGGGGACTATAAAGAGTGTAATCTGGGTTAATGTAACAGCCGCAACTTTAAGAAAGTTACTTTATGATCCATTAAGGAGTGGAACTTCCAAAAGCCGAAGTAGGTGAACCTATACAAAATCAGACTCCGTAGGTATTTACTTTAACGTGCTGGCTCGTATTTCACCAGGAATTTAAAGTTCTAAGCAAATTTTCAGTCCATCCTAAAAACATTTAAAAACGGGTGCTAGGATTTCTAACCCGTATAATTAGTATCCAATGATCAGCTATTACTTACAATTAGACCTTAGCCATTAACACTGCCTAAGTACGTTCGTCCAGGACCACTTATGTGGTCCAAGGACATCCTCATTTAGTAGTCTGCAACTATGTAGTTTTGGCTACTTCAGGTAGGTCCTTAAAGAGCTTTTATGGAAGTAGTTTGATTATATTGTCCTAGCCACTATGCCAAATATTAGACATTGTCTGCATACAAGATATGGAAAGCCATTGGATAGTACTGTTAGCTTTAGTACATTCCCTGCTTTAATCTAGACTACTTACATTTATTGCTTTAAAATATTACTTTAGCTAGTTACATTACTACTAGGTTACTGCTTATTTTACTAGCATGTATTAGCAAGTGAACTTAACATTCCAGAAGTATTTTCAAACTTCCATCTACCTTGTCGGAAACTGCATGTGTAAACTTGTCATTAATAAACATTACAAACTAAGAATTAACTTAACAAAAATACCCACCCGCAATGCCATTCCGGACAACACTTTCCTGGTTGAGTGCGTTTAACGCAAAATTTGAAAGGACGACGACGCAGAGAACACTTTATAACCGTCTTCTTGATACCTTCATTGGTACAAGTCATAGAAGTGCAGGGATCCAGGCTCCAAGTCTCGTGAAGACTACGGTGTTTACCTTTATCATCAGTACAACCACTGCAAGATATTGCATTAAACTTACCAACAGAATAGCGAACTAAATTTATAACTAAGACACTGTACCTATTGAAAATTTAACTATTGCACAAGCTACCAAAGTTAATTTGGTGAAAATACTTAAACTTCTAATGGTGTTAAATGTTGTTTACAAGCTTTGAGAGAAGTAGTGAGGTTGTCTGCTCGAAATGGAGAATATTTTTGTAATTAGAGTGGAGGGTTAAGATGAAGTTGAAGGCTGCTTTAGCATCAAAACATTGGAACAGCACAACCCGGTGGATTAATAAATCTGGGGAAGGAAGGTTATTTGAAGTAAAAGGAAAGTGGGAGGAAATAGGGGTTGATTGCTAGTTTTGGTCTGTCCTTAAGCCACTCAGATCTGCTAATTTTCTTGTGTGGGAAATAATACAAAAGAAACAGCTACAGCAATCTTAAATTTTAGGAAACTAAACTGCACCAAGTCTACGATGGCGGACTAAACTATGCAACATATCGCGCGCGTGTGCGTCCACAATACTAATTAGCATTATGGGCACTAAGGAATACAAATTCCTTCATCTAAGCAGTATATATAAAGCACTGAATCCGTAGTCATAACATTTCATAAGACAAGACTTACTTCTATTTATTGGAAGACATAAAATTTTATATTACTCTGCTTAAGTCACCAATTTTATCATTCAGAACTTTACCTGCAGTTCCATTTAGGGCAGCATCCACCAGCGGAGTATAAGAGTAGCAGCCGGGCGTGATGGAGCAGCTTTCTCGCATTCCCTTTTGTTACTTTTTATTCCATGTGTGGTACACGTGTGGATGGAGCATTTGTCATCCCATTTACTTAACAGTTTATGGAATCTTCCAGCTACGTCTATGCATCCACTGAAATATTAAAGAGCATTAGGACCAATTTAATTCTCTGCAAAATATTCCAGAATACATTTAACTGTTAAGTCCACCTCGTTTAATAGGCTAATACGTACCTGCAGTTCCAGGATGGACAGCATTCGCCTACTGGAATGTACATTGAACAGATTGGGTACGGAGGAAGTGATTTTTCACACTGCTTTACCGTCCTTCGTATACCTTCAGATGTGCACACAAGGGTAGTGCACGGATCATCAGTGCTCCAGCGGCTGCCCAGACATGGTAGGTACCATCCAGGTCCACACAGCCACTGAAATTTAAGATTTAGGTTATTCAGCAGACATGCTGAAAAACGAACAGCTAGTGTTCACAATCGGACATTACAATTTGTAATGACAGGCAGTGAACACAAGTAGAAGTTTGTAACTATTTGCAGTGGTGATATCAGTAGGAATACTTCAAGCAACAACTTACTGATAAACTGGACATTAAATTAAGAAGGGTACCTCAGAAGAGTATTTCTGAAGACAAGCAGAATGGAAACTTTCCTCCAAGTTAAAAATGTTAAGACCTTTTATTTGCATTAAGTTTTGTTCTAGTCACACTTAATATTTGTTCTGTTGAAGTTTCCAGGAACAAGCTGAGCGCAGAGTTAAAGTTCTTGATAAATTAACTGAAATTTCAGCATTTTTTTTTTTTTTTTTTTTTTGTAGGTTGAGTAAATTAAGACAGTGGGCGGGTTTGTCTGGAATCTGATTCTAACATTTGACTTCTTTGGTAACTTCAGATCCACATGCCCATACCATTAGAGGTAGGGATAGATTAGTGACATACAGGGAAGCTATAATTACCTGCAGTTCCATTTGGGGCAACATGTTCTCACTGGTGTGTAAAGACTGCAATCCTCATGGGGTTTCGGCAACTGCCGACAGCTTTTCCGCATAACTTTCACACCATCTTCAGTACACACCGATGTGATACACGGACCAGTTGCCCACTCGCTTCCAATCTCATGGTGCTTTCCTTCTTCGTCGATACAGCCACTGTAAATTCCGTTACTTTAAAATTTATACAAATAAATTAAGTGAAAATTTTAAATCTAAAGTTATTCCACTGTACCTGCAGTTCCACTCGTAACAGCATGCCAGTGGCGGTCTATAGGGTGAGCAGTCTTCGCTAGGGGGTCCTCTGCACTTTACTAGACGACAGTCAGGACTGTTAGGGAAAAACGGATTAGGGGTGAATAGGTTAGTAGTATTTGGTTAAGTACAGAAAAAGGTACTATCGTGGCTGGAACTACCCACACAAACTTGCAATGTTTCGGGTCAAGTGGGACAGACAGTTTAAAATATTCATAGTTATAGACTAATCCCTAGTTTTAGTTTAGCAATGAACTAGGCTTTCTTTTGCTAGGTATTTTGCTTCACGGAAATTTATTCAGCCAAGACGAGCAGAATCTTAAGAAAAATTATATACTTGCCCACACTTCCAAGTAGGACAACACTTGTTCCCGGCAGGAATCTCCTCGCAGTTACTATGAGGTGCATCAGGGCATTTCTGAACGATTTTCCGTATTCCAGACCGTGTACACTTCAACGAGACGCAAGCACTTTCCTTCCATACACTGTTCAGTCTATGGTACTTCCCATCGTCGCCAAGACATGCACTGGGTAATTAGACCAGCATTCAAAAGCTTTAATAATTCAAACTATCAACTTGCTATAAAAGTTTAGGAAGGAGGTCAAAGAAGTAATCATTTTACACTGAAAACTTGGTTTCCATATTAAATAAATTTAACAATTAGTAGGGCGCTTTGATTATATTTAATATTTCTTTCTTCGTTAATCTGCATGTACATGCAGTCCAATAAATCTTACGTCATATGAAAAAAAAAAAGTTACAAGGCGGCAGTATTTAGAAAGTTTGTTGAAAATTTATTCCTTTAATAAATTTCAAGTTAGAAAATTTTAGCAATTTATACTAAAAAGCAATTTTGAGGAAGTTTTCATAGGTATTAAGAAAGTTAAGATGCAAGAACTAAAATTAAGGCAGAAAAAAAAACAAGCTAATAGGATAATTTAGCTAATCCTATATGGCGGAGAAAATTTCAAGGAATAACTTTTGCTTAGACAAGTTATGCAAAACCACTTTTGCAAATGAAAGCAAAAAAATTAAGAAATACACAAGATAATCGTGTAAACTGATAATTACCCTTTATATGAAAACTAAGAAAAGGCAAATAAAAAATCAGGTTCTTAGCACTGTGAAGTTCCTAACCTGCAATTCCATTTAGGACAACACTCGCCCTCTGGTGTGTAACTTTTGCAACTGGGATGAGGTCTTTTCAGGGCAGAACAGATATTCCGCGTAACATTAATACCAGTTTCCGTACATACAGAAGTGCTGCAAGGTTTGTTTGACCACTCGCTACCTATATTATGATGGTTGTTGAGCTCGTCAACACATCCTCTGTCAAGATATTGAAGTGGGTTTAATTTTTTTTTTAAGTTATAAAACTCAGTTAATTCAAATTATCACAGGTTTATCTTTCCTCTGTACCTGCACTCCCATTCGTCACAGCATGCCAGTGGTAGTTTATGTGGTCTGCAAAACATGTTGGGTGGCTCGGGACATTTAACAAGACTGCAGTCAGGTCTGAAATCACGTGAACCGAATGTGAGGACGAGTAACTGTAATAGCGGTAATTAAGTAATTTTCAGAAATACATTTTAATCACGCTGGGGATAAATTTAACAAGCTTTTGTCTTAGTGGAGATTGATTTTTTAAAGGAAATTCATTTGTACTAAGATTGAAGTTTTGTTGGCCAACGTACGATTTTAAAAATCTAATTCTCTAACTAGTGCGCTATCTAACCAGTAACTGGCTTTCTAAGTTTATAGTAAGGCTGCAAGCAGAAAAATAGCTTTCACGAGTTTGCCAGAAAAATGAGGAACGTCTAACGCTTCAAGCTTACTCTAATTCATGTATTATTATAATCAAAAAGAAGCGCTAAGCCACAAGGGTCGTATTCATGTAGAAGTTAGAAAGCGTATCGCTAAATTGAATTAAGTTTTAAGGATTAATCTTTACATTAATTTCAGATTAGCACCTACGAAGAAAAAATCTCAGCCATTCATTAGGTAGCTTAAGAGGGTTTTCTCGCAAATTCAAAATTATTAAATCAAGTGGGATGGGTGTGTTGCACGCTCCAATAATTTTCCTTTCATCAGAATCTATACCAAGTTTTAAAGCCGCTCAGAAATTGCATTATCAGTTACAAGCGTTGAAGTGTGAAGCCAACTGGACGAGGCACTCGGACACCATGATCAAAATTACAATTTCCTCCCCAGTTTCTTGCATTTAAAGTAAATGCACATTGGGACGATATCAGATCAAAATCAAACCTAAAATTTTGGAGCGTTTGAAGGTTACGTACAACTTCATATGTATACGTGCTTATGTATGTGTATACGTATATTTATATTACACTAATGCATGCACTAAGTTCTACGAAAGCTATTAGTTAATATCCATTACATGTACAAGGTATACAGCCTAGTTGACAATGATACTATATAGAAAGTATGTGCAGAAAATTTTGGACAAATTAGGTGAATTCGTCTCGGGATCGACCCCACACTACTGTAGAAACCCAATACCCACAGACAACCGGGGTAAGGAAACACTCCCAAGTACTACCCCGCCGGGAAATTAACCCCGAACCTCGCCGTGATCTGGGGCTTAACCGTTAGTTAATTTAACAGGCCAAAAACTGACCAGAAAGAATCTGCTTCATGGAAATTCAATTAGTCCAGCGTATGTACTAATTACTGAAAGAAAATCTTCGTTCCCCATTTTTTAACGTTTGGTTTTGAGCCAAAGACTTGCCATCTTCCCACTACCACAAATATATACACCTTAGTCAATAGTCACTGCTAAGCTTTTTTTTTTCCCAGTATATTTACTCACCCACACTTCCAAGATGGGCAGCATCTTCCTTCACCGGAACTTTTTGGGCAGTTGCTGTGAGGTGCCTCAAGGCATTCCTCAATTTTTGTATGAAATACCAGCCAGGGTACACTTATGGGGGGGACGCAGTCACTAGTCTTGCCATTCGCTATCCATGTCGTGGTACACTCCAGCATTGTCGAGACAAGCACTGCAAAGTATTTTCACAGTTAGTTATTTTAAACTCTTAAAATTGGGTACTATTGCTTCTGACATCTGGTTGTATTTCCTGCTGCAACGATTGTTTGAACTAAAAATCAGCCAAATTTTTAAATTTTAGTGTTCACTATTTGTATGATATTTTCGAGGAAAGCATTTAGTTAAATAAATTTGAACAATGAAACCACCACTGATATTCCAGTAGTACAGCTGAAATTTTCTTGGTACCAGTGCCCTAGCACTAGGAAATTTAAAAAGTTTCCTTTTACAACGAAGAATTTTTAAATGTTCGTTAGGGAAAGCCTTTGACAGCATTGGTAATTAAGTGCAAAGTTACACTAGGATATTTATTACGGCCTATTGGCATTTTTGTTTGACCAAACTGCCTTCAATGGTTTACGGAAAAAAAACTCCCCACAACATTTAAAAATTTTTTACCTGCAGTTCCATTTAGGACAGCACTCTCCCTCCGGGGTATAAGTAACGCAGCTGTGATGGGTCTTGTAATTTACTGCAGTACTGCCTCGTAACCTTATGCCAATGTCTGTACACAGTGAAGTGCTGCAGGGGTCACTCTTCCACTGGCTGCCCAGCTCGGGTACTCTTCCAGATCAAAACATCCACTGAAAGTAAAGGAATTTAATATTTAAATCTGCTTCTGTTACATCTAGCTAGCTTAAGAGACTACATTCAAAAGCTGTTGGTAGATATTGGTAAATGCAAATATGTGGGAAACTGCAAACTGTTTTACAGACGGATAAAAAGGATTAAAGTAAACAGCATAACCAACCCAAGTTGAGTTACTATGAAAAACCTTAATACCCACGAAACTTCCAATCCTTTAAAAACAAAGTCTTGCATGACAAGCGCTTCCAAGGCTAGACTCATTTTCCAAGGAAGAAAGCAAATGCATTATACCCCTCTAATCACATGACCCTCTATGCTTTTAAGGAGGGAGAGTCATGATTTGACCCTCTTAGAAGGAAACCAGTAAGAACTAAACACTGCAGGCCAAATGACCTAGTTGGGTCACATCTACTCAAGGAGCACGGAGTCAGACCTATTAGCATAAGCTAGTCAGGGGAAATTCACACCCACCCCTAACCCTTTTCTAACATTTAAAATTTTAGCGTCCGAGTTTGTTCCACTCTTCCACAACAATTACCAAACCAGTTTTCCTATATTCTTCCTGAATCAATTTGTCCAACTTTAAAACCATTGCCGAGAGGTCCTGTTGCTAGATTTTTAAAAGCAAGCTATATACATTCCTTTTTTCCCGTTTTCCATTTATACGCCTCATTCATCCCCTTTATTCTACGCCTTTCTAGATTGCAGGTTAAGGACCTCAGTCCATCCTCTTAGGAAAAAATTCCCGATACTGGGACAACCGTGATTTCTCCTTATACATTTTCCTGTGGGGTTATCTATTTTGTAATACGAAGACCAGAATTGTGCAGTATAACCCAAACGAGGCGTAACCAAAGATTATACATACACATATATACACACATATATACACATATATACACACATCACCTGAGGACTTTCTTCTTTAATCTTTATACAAAGCCAACGATTCTATTAGCTTTATTGCGAACACTTCTGCACTGTTTTGGTTTTAGATTACTGGCAACCAGAACTTAATTCTTTTCGCAATCAGTAATATTAAGATCTACATTTATGTGGCATGGCTATTTTGTCCAATGTTTAGAGCGAGGTCTAGCCGAGAGGTTCTAGTCATTAAATTGTCCGGAGAGGTCAGGTATTGAGAACAGGAGGGGGGGGGGGTGAAGGTGGCAAGTACTTTATGCAGCCTAGCCTTGGGTGAAAAAATTAAAGCATCATCCTTTAGCATTTTCCACTTGTCAGCTTTAACTATCGTCTCTTCCAAAGTTCTTTAACAGTTACTATCTTTCAAACTACATTCAACATACCGTAGCTACAAAAAAAAAAAAACTGACGAAGCGAGCACAAGACCAAGCAGCCTTCAAGACTGCCAGGGAAACATTAGCAGGATTGGTCGATTTAGTATTAGCTCGAGGGTAAATAAAATAGCACAAGTTAAACACTGCAGTTTAACTTTTGGAAACCGGAGGAGATATTTTTTATGAATGGTGACAGAGCATGAAGCAAGAATAAATCTTCCCTACACCTTTCTGAACCTACACTTAAGACTTGCTGCTCTGAGCTTAGCAACTTGGCAGGCACCTCGAGTCCGTACCTGACCAGCGGGGCGGAGATTCATGCGTCTGTGCGCGCGGTAGTCCATTTTGGAAGCTAAAATTCTAAATTTCAGGAAACTGGTAGAAAAATTAAGCAGATTTTGGAAAATTCAAAACCGTGTAGTCTACAACCTTAGCACAAGTACAGTACACCCGATAGTTTAGGTACAGATTTAAAGGAAAATTTCCTGGTACCTGCACGTCCACTCGTCACAGCATGCCAACGGTGGTCTGTGGGATGTACAGTCGCTGCTGGGCGCGCCTGCACATTGTACATTACTGCAGTCAGCTCTGAAATAGAAAAAGTTAATCTTCTGCCGGTTTGATTTAACAGTGAATTTTAAAGTACAAGAGTCGAAATGCATTTCAAAATTTGACTTCAGTTTTAAATACAACAGCGTAAAATATCCTAACAGCTTTCTAGACAATAAAATTTACCGACTCGAGAAACCTAAACACTATTGCAAACAAATACCATGGCTGGGGGTTTGAACCCGCGATCAGTCAGAACTCCAGATAGTCGAGTTAGCCACTGGCTAATGCGACGGTCTGGAGTTTTGAGACTGATCGTGGGTTCAAACCCTACCCGTGGTATGGTTTGTTTAAAACAGTGTTCCACCCCGAGGTCCCATAAAACTTGAGTCCTGACATTAAAAGGAGCACTCGCCACCAACTTTCCTAAAGCCTTTGTTACGATAATTACCCTCTTCCATTGGAAACTACGAAGTTGCTCCACAATTAACTTTCAAAACCTTGGCTCAAATATGAAACACTAACGCAAAGTTAATTAGCACTTTAGGTTCCTGAAAGGAACCTAGTAATTAAGCATAGATGGCAAAGTTGCCAAGCAAATTTAAGTTTTCCATATTTATACAGGTCCACAAAACTTATGCTACAGCGTTTAATACGGGAATAGGTACTTCAGTTATTTAATATAATTAAATTCCTAGTCTTAATTATCCTTCCGCTAACACCAGCGCTACTACAGGCTTACGGCAACACTTAATAGAAGAAAGTAGGAACACCGCAGCAGGCCTACTGGTCCACACTGGGCAGGTCTATCAAAATTGAGCCTTAGTCACAAGTATTGTCGCCATGCCTAAAAAATCCTTTTTCAGACCTTACGTAAGGGTTCAATACTCTTAAAGTAGCGTCAGTCATTAAAAGTTTAAAACATTTCAGGTGAAATTGCAATTTCATAGGTGTAGCATTCTAGAAATAAGTGGCACAAACTAAATCTCCACCTTTCGTAGCAGTAAAAGGTGAAAATTTCAAACTATCAGAAAGTGGAAGTGTCCAACACTACCAGAGGAGACTTCACTTTACAGTAGTTACACTGTCTTAAGTCAGGACATTTAAATTTCTAGCTAATCTGATGAAAAATGGCAAGTCAATAAATTTAGTAAAAATTCAGCCCAATCTAGTTTGGGATTCTCCATACCCAACTAGTTCTTAGAACAAAAACCTAGCTGGGCTAAAAGTTTTAGCCATATTTTTTATAAACTATTCCCAGATACATACCCACATCGCCAAGACTGACAACACTGTCCTTCATTTGGAACTACTTCACAGTTGCTGTGAGGCTGATCAGAACATTTCTCCACCCTGGTGTGTATGCCAGCCCGGGTACACTGGTGCCTGATGCAAGGAGTTTCTTGCCATACGCTGTACAAGTCATGGTACTCTCCATTATCGTCAAGACATGCACTGAGGAAAAAAAAAAAATTGCAGAGTTCTAAACAGTGTTAACTCTTCCCTCCACATGAAGAGAAAGTAAGGCTTGTCACGAAACTCCACTGACCCGTTCCTTTATTAACCATTAGGCTGAGCTAGTTCGTGAACCTCGGCAAATCAAGAATCGGTAAGTTGTCCATAAGATGGATAATAAGCAATCTCTTCCCCTCATCCACAGTACATTAAATTAAAAGAGCGGGAGGAGACTGGCAAGTCAGCATCATAACCAAAATCTCGTGTAGTAGGTCACAAACGCCACGTCAGGAAACCAATTGGCCAGGTTGCCGATTTCCCCCCCCCCCCCCCACTTTCCCGGTTAAATATCTTGCTAGCAGCCTTAATGCTGCACCCGAGAATTAATCTTCCAAGAATCCAGGAGAGACCAAACAAGTATTTGAAGCTAAATTGATTTCAGATAAAGTTTTAGTTGCGCTTTAAAACGCTTACCAACAAAAGCTAGGATGTTGTCTTGAGCAGGTAACAATTTCTTATTAGACCGTAAATTCTGATATTTCATATTAGGACCGACTGTGCAAGACTAATTAAATACGACAGGGTAGAAGTAACTAGTCTACGGTGATGAAAAATCTATTCAGTCTAAGACATTTAAAGGCTGCATTTTGAATGAAATTGGAAATTCACTATTAAAGTTGATCAAAAGGAAAACCAAGTTTCCCTAAAATAGCGTTTAAAGACTTTCAAAATCTAGGGCCAAACAAATTAAGGGGCACTTCAAAACAAACAGGGTGCTAGATGAAGTCTTTAAATACAGACTTAAGGTTAATGATTATGGCAAAATTATATTTCCTCGGGAAGTAGGAAACTTAAATCTCACCTGCATTCCCATCTGGGACAACACTCTCCCTCAGGGACATAACTACTGCAGCTGTGATGGGGCTTCGGTAATGTAGGGCAGTATTTGAGAGTAACTTTAACGCCAGAAGGAGTACATTCTGAAGTGTTGCAAGAGTCGCTTGACCACTTGCTGCCCACCTCACGATGGTTGCCAAGTTCATCAACACATCCTCTGAAAGTTTTAATTAAAAATAGAGATTTCAATGTTTCATTTAAGTAATTTAACCTGTGATTGTATTAGCAAACACTAAAAAGGTTAAATTTTCCTGACAAATTAAAATATCAGTGGTATCACTAGGATGGCAAGTCCTCCTGAGGAGTTTCCTAGAATGGCAAGTTTCTAATCCTTAGCTTATTAATTTGTTAATTTTTTACTTTAAAAACTAGGTATTACTAAACATGGGGAAACTAAACCCATGTGGATAATGCGCCGAGGAAAGGGGGTTGATGGCATTAAAGTTTTATTCAATGAATTGGAAAAAAATCACTAGGAGAAATTAGGCCGAAGTATCTGGCTAGTGAAAAATTACTTAACGATAGCTGTTTTTCAGTAAAGTAGGAAATGTGCGTTAGTAGATGTATTTAAGTTTTTTTTCTCCCATTTAGCAGTTTTTTCACATTTCGTATGTAAGCTTTCAAGTTCTGAGAAGTAATTTAGTTGAACAATCTAGGTCAAAAGGGGGGCTAGAATAGCTTCATACTTTAAAGTATGAGCTAATGACTTTGAACATTTCAAATTAGTCTACTTGACATGAGCCACCACTTGCCAAGTACTCTGATTACAGGAGCAGCCACACTAATCTGCCTTTTTCCCACTCTGTACGTTGCTTTTGCTGACGTTAAGGAAAACTAGACTGGTGGCAAAGACCAGCACGTTATAACAAGCCATCAGTGAATCCCACATGTTTAACACGTTGCCGGGTAGTGTTAGCAAATTAAACTAGGCTCTAAGTATGCATAAAATACTTCATTCAAGGGAGTGACTACGCTTGTGAAGAGCTCTAAGTTATTTTGATTATCAAAATTTATGGCATCATTCAATTGGTAAGAAATTATAATAAAAACTTTCCTCTAAATATTTTTTCCATGCTGTGCCGCCATATTTATATCAGTTTTGAACTTTACTTAGGTAACGAGCGTGTGAAAAAAAAAAAAAAAAAAAAAAAAAAAAAAAAAAAAAAAAAAAAGAGGGACAAACTTTTTTCAATACGACTAATTTTAGAAAAATTGTACCTGCAGTTCCACTCTTCACAACATGCTAGTGGTCGTGTAACTGGTGTACACCACTCGTTGGGTGGACCGGCACACTTTACAAATCTACAATCAGGCCTGTAAAAATTAAATACGAGAACTATTAGTCCTATGGCTACATGCTATACATACTAGTCATATTCCCGATAACTTAAGTCATTAGCTTAAATTTAAGCTCAAGTTTTTCACATTTTCTCACTCCTAAACGTATACTGTAAAGACATTCTTCAGTTCCACAAGTTTTGCTACATCATTAAACTAAACTGCGCCACAAATAATTTGTACTCCAGGCAGACTCCTGGACGCAGAGTTTCTAACCAATTTTAGTCTTAACCATGATTAAGGCATGTTAAGTGAGCAAAGCGCCTTCCCCATAGTTTAAAAATTTTCGTAGTACACAAGGAAAACAATTCGACCACATCCTGCCTGTCACCGAGGTTCAAGAAATCCATTTTGGGCAGTTTGTCTACATACAATACCATAAATGTTTTTTCTATAGTTTAAACTAATACATACCCACACTGCCAAGATGGACAACAGCTTCCTTCAACAAACGTTTTCACAGTTGCTATGAGGTTTATCAATGCATTTCTCAACCTGCGTACGTATACCAGCCCAGGTACACGTATGAGTGATGCAAGGAGACACTTTCCACACACTGTTCAGGTCATGGTACTCTCCAGCATCGTCGAGACATGCACTTAAAAAGCAATTTCTCAGTATTAAGTATCCTAGGCATTTTTTTCAGAGTAGAGAATTTTGCAGTTAAGGCGCAGTTATACATTCTGATCTTAAATAACACTGGGTTATTGAAGGAAAGTAGCTGACGAGGGAAGCATACATTAAGATTCAAGACATTCTGAAGGTCGGAAAATAAATAAGAAATAACTGGTCAATGGGACGAAAAATTGAAATTTTAAAACGGTAATCTCAAACATTGGGCACTTCCATCACTTACCGCCCAACGTAAATTTAGCACATTTTACCAATTACAGGAGAGAGTGCACTTCCTGCAAATAAGTACACTGAAAGGTCAGTTACGTGGACTAGTTACAGATTTGAAGGAACATTTTAAATAAAATTCTAGAGGGTACATCAGGCCCGCCACTACCAATAGGTTTAAGTTACTGCAACAGTAACGTAAACCATGAGTACGTAAACGAAGATAGACTAAGGCCTTTTAATGAAACTTTAAAAAAGTAGAGTACTTTTGCTACCTCAAGTGACCACTTTAAAACTTTCTAGAATGCATTATTTCAAAAGGAACTTTTGAACCAAAGTTTCCAGCAAGTCACCTGCAGTTCCACCTGGAGCAGCACTCTCCCTCCGGGGTATAAGTAACGCAGCTGTGATGGGGTTTTTGGCACTGGGAGGCAGTATTTCCGTGCAACCTGAATACCAGCCTCTGTACACTCAGAGGTGCTACAAGGGTCGTCTGACCACTTTGTCCCTACTTCATGCTGGTTACCATCTTCATCAAAACACCCTCTGCAAGAAAAATCTTTAATTCGCCAAGATAAATTTCTATGAATTTAAGATACTTTCAACTAGAAAAATCACCAAAAATCAAGGTTCAAGTGTTGCCTAAGTCACCAGTTTTCTAGACCATTTAGTCTAAAACATTTACCTGCACTTCCACTCGTCACAGCATGCCAAAGGTGGTCTGTATGGGTCACACCACTTGTTGGGCGCACTTGGGCACTTTACAAGACTGCAGTCAGGCCTGAAATGCAGAACTTGCTATAGGAAGCCTACTGACCGTTAAGTATCTGATTATACTCAGTTGCTTGACTGATCTCCAATAAATCTAAAATTTTTTTTTTTTTTTTTTTAAATTAAAGTTAAGAGCATTTCCATTGGGTAACCACATGGACGAGTGACAAAAGTTTAACCAGTACCCAAGGTATTAAAAACCATGCCCTAGTTAAAGATTAAAGTCGTGGGGAGCAGTTAAAATATTTTTCTGCTCGAGGCTAGGCAGAACCTGCCAGCACAGGGCCTACAGAAGAGGTACGTGGGAAAGACTGTCAATGTACAGGGAACAAAGTGGCAGTTCTTTTAGCAGGGAAATATGGGAGAGGCAACTCCATTTACCTTTTACAACTTTGCTGCCCTCTCCTCCAAGCACGTACGTAGCCCACAAAATTACGAAGTTTCTGGAGCAAGTTTGAAATTTTTTTCGTATTTGCTTATTTTCCCTCAACCCAAATCCTGCCACCAACTGAAGTAATTTTACAGCTTCATTGCCACTAATAGTTTGGAAATTTTCTTACTAAGCCATTAAAGTTAAAACTATTTACATCACAAAACTTATAGATTCGAACACTAGCTTTCACTTTCGATAGACCATCTCAATTCTAATTTAGAACAGTTTCGGCCCGGCCGGGATTGTCTCAGACGTTTTGAAGTCAAACCTGTATTGACAATACTCACCCACATCGCCAAGATGGGCAACAACTTCCTTCATCAGAAGCATCTTCACAGTTGCCGTGAGGTGGATCAAGGCATTTTTCGACTTCAGTGTATATGCCAGCCCGGGTACACTTGTGGGTGACGCAGTTACTCGTTTGCCACATACTGTTTAGGTCATGGTACTCTCCAGTATCGTCAAGACAGGCGCTAGAGAACAGCATTTAAAAGCTTTGAATATTTTACTAAAAAATATTTGGAAAAACTGGGAAGGAAAAATGGGAAGGCTTTTGCATGTCTTAACTTAGAGGGCACGAGAAAAATGCCAATTCTGATTTAAATACTTTGGATTAAAATGTCAAGCTATTTTTATCAAGCCATTCAGCACTTTGCGGAACAAACCAGATACTACTTTCACAAGCTGAACATTAGATTCTTAGAAATTATAAAGATTTAAAGAAAAACTCTAAATTATCACTTTAGACCGCCTGCAATCATTTTACAAGATACTAGCTCCATTTGGCCGTTTACATCCAAGCTAGCCTGTTCAAATTTAGTCTGCTACTGCCGTTAATTATATATAAAAAATCTTAAAACATTTTCAGTAGTTCACTAACTCGCGTTGTATCAGTTGCCACGAGCATTTAGATTAAGGGGGGGATTTCCCCCCCCCAGCTCCTGGGTTCAGGCAAGCACCTTCAATAGGAGCACAAGTCCGAGAAGGGGATCATTGTCTGCATCGCTATTGGGCCGTGCAGACCCCCTTGCCTGACGCTCCTCAGTAACCTGACAGCAGTGGTACGAGGTGGTGTTGTGCATTCGCTGCCTGGATGAGGTAGAGTGCGGACGTGCTTTGCACCCCTCTACTGTTTCCCAGACGAGCTAATCAGTCAACGACAGGCGCCAGTGTTCGCAGGAGAGTGAATACTGTGGGCATTGAACTTATTAGTGGGGCTTTAACACCTACGTCAGTCGATGTGTTATTGCCCAAAATTATACGAGAGACATATGGCATCAGAGACGAGGATTTATATGGAGTGGCACTGAACGGTGTTTTATAGAATTTTCGTGAAAGTGCTAACTGCTCAAGTATACGAGGGTTTGGTTGATCGTTTCCAGATGCAGC